TTTCATGGTTTCATATCATTCTCACCAATAGTCAATTTATGATGATAAGTATTTAGGCTGCATTCGAAAATGCTCTATTTCTAAATACACAATTAAGAAATGACCTTGTACCTTGTGAACTATTGACATTTTTAAATATATAAGCTCATCCCGTTGTTACACTCGTCAAGACCTTTCATTTAAGTACCCACATCATTTTTTCATATATTTATAAATATTATATATATTAGGGTGGCGCAAAAAACCGACTATTTTTTTTTTTTTTTAGTCTCGAGTGAAAAAATGTTAGTTTTTGATGTTTTAAGAGTCCTCACCAAAGGACAGCTAAAAAAAATTTTTTAAGAGGTCACTCCAAATTTTTCAAACTTTCAAAAATCGTCAAAAATTGAATTTTTTTTTTTTTTATTTTTTTTCTCGTTACGGTATAATTTTATAGACCAAAAAACAATAAGTTTCTGAAAGTTTCAGTTCAAAATTTAAATTTTGAAATGTCGCTCATAATTTTTTTTATTTTTCGTTAATTAGTCGTCTCGCCGACTTTAAGTGTTGGGAGTGGCGGTATGTTGGGGTCTTTTTGGTTTGAAAAAATCTTAACAAACGCGGCAAGGTCAAATCTCAACCCCAAGGTCAAATCTCAACCGGCAAGGTCGAATCCCAAGCTGGTTTCTAAGACCAGCTTGGGATTCGAACTCGCGCCTGGCAGTTGATTGAATAAAATTATTAAATTAAAAAAAAATTATATTTTTCATGTTGTGCTTGATTTTTAGTTCATCTCGTGATGTATTCTTATCGATTAATGTACTAAATAAAAAAAAAAAATGCGTGGAATTTTAATTTGAATAGTAAAAGGTCGCTCGAAAAAATCTAAACTAATGCACTAATAAATTGAAAAAAATTATAAGCGACCTTTCAAAATTCGAATTTTGAACTGAAATTTTCAGAAACTTATTTTTTTTTAGTCTATTAGATTATACCGTAACGAGAAAAAAAATTAAAAAAAAATTTTTGATTTTTGACGATTTTTGAAATTTTGAAAAATTTGGAGTGACCTCTTAAAAATTTTTTTTGAGCTGTCCTTTGGTGAGGGCTCTTAAAACATCAAAAACTAACATTTTTTCACTCGAGACTCAAAAAAAAAAATAGTCGGTTTTTTTGCGCCACCCTAATACATATATAAATACATACATAAATAAACTTTTGAACCATATGCATTTTCTGAATCCGCTTGACGAACTCAGTCGAAATATAGAAAAATTTTTCAAAAGTTCCAATATGAAGATCAATGCAATAGTTAGATTTCTATCAAATCTACACGGAAAAAAATTTATTGTTGCTGCAACAGGAGGCAGTCATGTTGCAGCAACAGGATTTTCCTGCAACTGCAACAGGAGGCAGATATTTTGGTCAGAAGTTTTCTTTTATCATACAACGAACTTCTGCCAGAAAAAAAAAATAAAAAAATTTTTTTCAAAAGATATATAAAAAAATTATATCATGTGTTAAGCCTGACTTTAAGATTACGTCCAAAAAATAGAAAAAAAAAGTTGAAATTCATTTATTATTTAATATTTCCACGTCGTGCATTTAACTTTTTAATGCTCAAAATTACAATACTATGTATCTGCATAACTTTACCTTATTTAGAAGTTGCAAAAAACAAAAAAAAATTTTTTTTGAAATTCAAAATTCAAAAATTTATATTTAAAAAAAAAATACAGTTCTAAAATTTTCAGGATCTTTTAAGATCAGTTCAAGATATTATACAAAAAAAATTGAGCCAAAATTTTAATGTTGACCGTCATTTTTGACGATTTTCAAAAATTCAAATTTTAACAAATTTGGCATTTTTTAAATATTTTTTTTCAATAGCCCCAAGTGTCCCCTTTCAAACAAACGAAAGGCCATTTCTGTATCTTTAATAACGTTCGATATATTACAAAAACAAAATTGAAAAACTGGAAAAATCGCGCAATTTTGAAATTGCATATCTTTTGAAGAAAATTTTTTTATTTTTTTTCCGTTGACAGAAGTTCGTTGTATGATAAAAGAAAACTTCTGACCAAAATTTATCCAAATCGAAAGGGGTCGATTTGACATGGATTGACCCAACTATATTTTACTATCAAGTCACAACAACCGTAGTAATACTGTTGCTGCAACAGGATTTTTTCCTATTGTTGCAACATGACTGCCTCCTGTGTTAGCAACAATAAATTTTTTTCCGTGTACTGGTCTTGAAGAATCGTCATTAAAAATATGAGTAAAATCTATTAGAGATACAAAACAATTAACAGAAACCTTTTTTATGGAAAATTAAATTTTCTACAAATAGATCTCGTATGATTTTTTTGTATTTTCAATATTTTATCCGTAATTTTGATTCAAATTATTCACTATTGATCCTGATGTAAATAATCTGTTTAGAGCTACTAAACGAAAAAATAATTTGTAAATAATTAAAATTAAAATTGACGAGGACCTTTTCTAAAGAAAATTAAATTTTCGATAAAAAAAGTCTCTTATAAATTTTTTGAATCTCTTATATTTTAGTCAAAATTTGAATTTCAAATTTTTTCTCAATCTTCAAGTTATATTTTCTCGATTCGATTTGTGAATTTCTTGAATTTATACGAACTAATTATATTGACACGATATTTTAATTTTCAAGAGAGTATTCACCTTGAATCAAGTAATTTTTCTGTCAGCATGTTTATTTACTTGAGAAGTGTATCATAACTTTTAACTACTTTAGTTTTTAATTCAAATTTAATCAAACTTTGTCTGAATTTTGTCACTGAATTGAAACCTTCAAACATTTAATTTTATTTAAAGTATTAACAAAAATGAAAAAAAATTTAATTTTTTCCAGGTGCCGCTTGAAACAATGGCGACGAGACCTTCCACCCACTTCCGTGATTATAACCTTCCACAACGAAGCAAGATCAACATTGCTGCGAACAGTCGTCAGGTAATAAAAAAAAATTTGTAAAAACATTTTTAAGTAAACAATAATAGAAATTTAATTGAAAATACATTTAGAATAAATAGAGTTGACATTAAAAGATAGGAAATGTCAATACGGAAATAAACCGGTCGGTATTTAACTGCCGGAAATTAATAAAATTTCCAATACCAAACATCTTTTTCCGCTGACTCTTCTGAAGTTCAAATAAAATATAAAATATATAAGTACAGAGAAACTAAACTGGGAATATAAAAAATAAAAAAGAACTCGTAATGGATACTGATGGAATTTTGTAATCGTAATTCCGCTGGTATCCATTTCGTTGCGCATTGAAGCTACGACGGAGAGAATAGGAGTAATGGCGTAATGGGGGCGAATGAAACCCTTTAAGTCATCTAAATTTTATCTTTTTTCACTTTTTTACTCGTATATCAAAAGTTTTTCCCGTAACCGAGGTATTAATTAAGACATTTTTCACTCTTTAACGTCTCATATTTTTATATTAAGAAAGTTCAGGGGCAAAATGGTGAGCTAGATATTTTTATGTGGTAGTCTTAATTATTTCAATCGTGGTCATCGATCAAGTTAATGATTTTAGTAATTACTTGTTTAACTTGTCGATTTTTCTTCTTTTTTACATTTCTTTCAATTTTTAAATTTATAGCTTAGAAGAAATTGAAAAAAAAATGTTAAATCATTGATTTTGTTTATCGACAAATAAGTCCCTATTGATATTTTTGATAAATAACTTATAAACAAGAAAATTTGAAAATTCTACAATATTAAAATTAAATTAAAGCCATTATCTTAGCTGCAATTGGTGAGAGTAGTCATGGTGGGAGTAGAAGTAATAAGCAACGCGAAATTCGTCATTATTTACTATAAATTCAGTATTGCACGCCTCATAAGTGAAGTGGATGAAGTAGTGCTCTACTCTCGTTTTACAAAAATCAAGTGATTTTTTTAACTAAAGTTGTCTCTATTTTTATCTCTATCGTACTTGTAGAATAATATTTACACATAAATGTCATGGAAAAACACTAATTTCAACACTTATAACATTTTTAAAATACATTTTGCTTTTTAAATTAATAAAAAAAATGTTTAAAAAAATTATTCCGTGGACATCCGGGTGTCTGATGTATGTACGGAAACTGGCGTGGTCACGATAACTGCCGAAAAACTTAACTGATCAAGTCCATTTTTTTTTATACGCTTTAGCATTATCCAAAACTAAGTCCTTTCGAAGATCATGGTCTAATTCAATGTAGTTTAATTATAATTAGCAATAAACTAAAATCCACTTATCGCTTGTATATCTATATCTATGTAAAAAAGGTTCGTTTACAATACATAGGCAGTACCTTTCTTTTCTGGATGTACAATAAAATCAATTTTATTATGGAAAATGAGATTATGAGGTGTGCACTTTTGGATTTTCCAAACTTTTTTTTTACCATGAAATGGTCTCTTTATTTCAATTCAGTGAATTATTAAATAAATTAATGAAAAATTCTTGTTATAGTGTATTAAACCGGAGTCCTGAGCACCTGATCAAAGAAATAATCCTCGTAGATGATTTCAGCGATCACCGTAAGTAAAAAATAAACAGTAATTGTTTAGTTTCTCAGTCGCTCTTTTTTTTTTTTTTTTTTTAAATAACTAAAATTAAAATTTTTCTTGTGTTATTATATTTTACGGTGGATTTACGATAATAATCATGATAATTTGTCAAAATAAATTGTTCAATTAAAAATTTTGCAGAGTGGATGATTCTTAATTAATTTAATTTCTCCACAGTGAAATTCGCTCCAAAGATTTCATTTATTCAATTAATAAAAAAAAATCCTTGGTGAAAATTTTAATTTTTTTAATTGAATATAAATAAAAAAATAGTTTTTTATTAGTTTAAAAATTACAAAATTTGTATTTATAGATTTCAAGAAATGATATAATTTTATTTCTTAGTTTGATATAATAATTAATTTTAATATTTAAAAAAAAAATGCATCAATATGTTTTATTAATTTCTAATAGTAGCATATTTTAACACAATCTTTCCATAATAATTTCTATATTCAAGTTAATGTCGATGACATTAAAGCAATTAATTTTATTAAATTAAACATAGCAAAATTAATAATTAATTTGTTTTTACTTTCTACGTTAAGATTTATTAACAAAACTTGAAAAATAAAGAAACTATATGAAAATTTCGTTCAATGTTCCAAAAAAGTCAAATTTTTGAAAAAATCAAATTAATATTTACAAATTCAAAATTGATATAAATTGTTTGAAGTATTTTATAGTAATTTTTGCGTTTAAAAATTGTTTCCGTTGATTAAAACTCATTTTAGTATAAAATCTCATTCAGAAATTAAGTCAATAAAATTTTCCTAAAATGTCAATTATTTTTTTTCAAAAAAAAAAATTTATTGAAAAATTGGCAATTAAAATTTTTTTTTCTATTTTTTATGAACTTTAAAAAAATGGGATTAAAAAAAAATTCTGAATGTCATTAAAGACTTAAAGGATTGTAGACCGTAAAACTCATTAATTACAAAATATTTGATTGATTTTTACTAATAATTTATAAATTAAAAAAATTCTTACTCTTCTATCATTTTTTTTCCTTTAATGAAAGTAAAATAACTTAAATTGATAATAAAATAATTTATTGTCTTTCAAAATTGAATAGCGGAAGACGGCGAAGAACTATCGAAGATCCATAAAGTGAGAGTTATTCGTAATGAAAAACGTGAAGGTCTGATGAGATCGCGAGTACGTGGCGCTGACGCTGCGACGGCAAGTGTTCTGACGTTCCTGGACTCTCATTGCGAGTGTAACGCCGATTGGTTGGAGCCTTTGCTTGAAAGAGTCGCTGAAGACCCTTCTCGTGTAGTCTGTCCAGTAATCGACGTAATCAGTATGGATACGTTTCAATACATAGGTATGAAAAGACAATTTGTATTGGTAAAATTTTGGTAATAAAATATTGGTAAAATTTGTATGTGATTTGTATTTTAATTATTCTATTTGTCACCAGGTGCATCGGCTGATTTGAGGGGTGGATTCGATTGGAGCCTGGTGTTTAAATGGGAGTATTTGAGTCAAGCTGAAAGGCAGTCGAGGCAAAAAGATCCTACTCAGGCTATCAGGACTCCAATGATCGCCGGGGGCTTGTTCGTTATCGATAAAGCGTACTTCGAGCAGCTGGGAAAATATGACACGCAAATGGATGTTTGGGGTGGCGAAAATTTAGGTAATTTCATTGAAAAATTTACGAAGTAATGATTAATTATTATTGATCGGATCGAAATATAATTGAGATATTTATTTTAACATTAATATTTTATAATGTAAGGTCTTGCGCTAAAAAAAAAAACTACTTGATTCACGAAAAATATTTTGCTTCATTGCGTGAAAAAATTTTGTGTTAAATATCTAACACTTTTATTGGTCAATTTAACACAAATTTTTTTGACGCAATGACACAAAAATTTTTATTGTATTATTTCGAAATATTCCGTTCGAATTAATCCAAGAAATTCGTTCGCGAGTTATAAAAATAAAATTCGAAGATAAAGAGATAAAGTTCCCGATTTCAGAATTTTATTAATTTAATTAAGCACTTTACTTACTGTTCTTAATTTAAAATAATCAACCTGTATTTTACCCAACAATTTTAAGAGAAAAAGTTATGAAAAGTTTGAATTTACATTCTGATTAAAATATTGTAGGTACAGAAAATTTATAAGAAACTTTTTTCGTAGGAAATTCAATTTTTTACAAAAAAATTGCTTATCAATTTTATCGTATGTCTTATAGATTACTTACAATTTGAATTTTAATTGCTTACAAATTATTTTTTCATATACACAGTAAAAAATTTTGCGTCAAAAAACTTAGTGTTAAAAATTTTTGTGTTAAATATTTATCACTTTTTTGTCTTGATTTAACAGAATAAATGTTAAATTAATTTTAAATTAATTAAACTTCGAATTACAATTATTTTGTTCTCGAATTAACAATAGTTCTCTTGAATGAAACAGTTTTTTTAGTGTAGCTATTTTTTTTTGTACATCAACAAAAATTTATCTAAAAACTAAAAGTATTTTTTTTTTTTTTTCAAAAAAAAATTACCAACAAATCTTCTAAAAATTCGGATGTTTAAAAGAACTATTTTGAGTAATTTGAAATATAAATTATCAAAAATTATCAACTAATTGTTAATAATTATTTTATGAACCCCAAAAACTTGAAAAAAAGTTTTAATACTTATCACGAGAACATAAAAAACTAATAAACAAGTTTCGCAAGTAATCAAAAGAGATATTAAATGACAAAAACAAATAATCTTTCAGCAAAGTAAAGTAAAAGACTTAACAGTTCGTTTTTTATTTCCTAAATTTTAGGAAAGATAAATAACTCAAAAAACTAATTATTTCAGAAATATCCTTCCGCGTATGGCAGTGCGGTGGAAGTTTGGAGATAATACCTTGCTCGCGAGTTGGCCACGTATTTCGCAAACGTCACCCGTACTCGTTTCCCGGCGGAAGTGGAAACGTGTTTGCCAGAAATACCCGACGTGCCGCTGAAGTCTGGATGGATGACTATAAGCACTTCTATTACAACGCGGTCCCACTTGCACGGAACATACCCTACGGAAAGTAAGTTTTCATCCCCGTACCTTTCTCCTCTTCTTCCTTCATCCTCTTCCGTTTTCTTTTTTTTCGACCCCAAGTCCCCAAACAATACAAACTTTCGCTTAAACTTTTCTCAACCCGCCTTAGACTTAAGCTCCGCGGAATTTTGATTTTACTAATAATAATAATAACAACTATATCGTAATCAAATAACTAATGTTCATGTTATGATGTGGAAAAAATTCATAAATAAATGTTTGCATTCACTTATTTCTATTTTACGCTGAGAGAAAAAATGTCTTTTGACAAGAAATTAATTTTTTTTTAATTTTAAACAATTTTATTTCTTAACTAAAGAAATAAAAATTTTTCTCACAGTAATTTTCTTGTTAGAAAAAAACGTTTTTAATTAACCTTTTTTGATATTTTTAACATGTATCATAATTTTTTACTTAAAAAATCATAAAAATTAAAGTTGGACTTATTAATTATTATGTTTTCATTTTTTGGACACTTACGTAATTTTTATTTCTGTTTTAAATTGTATTTTTCCTACATGATTATTTTGTTGTAACTTTCGAATAAACCGCGTTAATAATGCCAAAAGGGTGCATTAGAAAATATACGCTCTCTTGGTTCTTCAGAGTCAAAAAAATTATAAAAAAATTTTTTTTTGACATACATAACGTACACCCTTTACGTTTAAGGAAAAAAAAAATTTTTAAGCCAAAAGGACGTATATGGCAAAATGGATTTTTGAAAATTTAACTGAAATCACTAACTCATCCCAATTTTTTTAAGCTTTTATTTTTTGTATTTTGTGAAAATTTATTGAAAAAAAAATAAAGTTAAATTTTTAATTTCTGGTTGAAAAAATCGAAATCTTAAAAAAAATGGGCTGTGAGAGTGTTTTTATTTCAATTTCCAAACATCAATTTTTTATTAAATCTCGACATTTTGAGGTCCTTAGAAGCTATTTTGACTTTTTTTACATACGCCCATTTTGGTTTAAAAAAATTTTTTTTTCGAAAAAAAATTATTTTGCATTTTTTAACAAGATTTTTCCTTTTCTCACATTTCTAAGTTAATTGAAGAAAAAAATAATTTTATACGCATTTTTGGCATTAGTAATACGAAATATTATAAATTAATTAACTTTTAAAAAAGTCAAGATTTTATGTTTGAATTATAAATTCATTATAATTTATTATTTTAGTTTTTTTCTGTGCAAAGAATTAAAAAAGATCCAGCCGTGCCACAAAAAAAAATCCTTTGAGAAATAATATATATAACATAATAATTCATATTTTGTGATCAGTATTGCAGATAGGCTTGATTTGAAAAGAAAATTGCACTGCAAGCCCTTCAGCTGGTACCTGAAGAACGTCTATCCGGAATTAGTGATTCCGACAAGTGAAGGCGGACCCGGCGGGTCCTTGAAACAAGGACACTCTTGTCTTGACAGCATGGGACATTTATTAGATGGTAACGTTGGTCTCTATCCCTGCCATGATACTGGTGGCAATCAGGTAATTTTTTTTTATTTCAATTCAATTTTTTTATAATTATTTCGTTTTAGGGTCTCTTCATTTTTTGGGATAAAAAATTGAAAAATTAACATTACTTTTTAATTAATCAATTCTAACATAAATTTTACACTGAAAAAATTTTAAATGTTATTATTAATTAAAATATTGTAAGCCTCGGAATTAAAAATTTATTCATTTTATTTGAGACTTGTCTTCACTATTAATTAAAAATATATTCACTATTTCAGGAATGGAGCTTAACAAAAGATGGTTTAATAAAACACCATGAACTGTGTCTGACTCTTCCAATGTACGCAAAAGGCACGACCCTGCTGATGCAGGTGTGCGACGGAAGCGAAAACCAGAAATGGAGGTACCTCGAGGGTGGGTTGATAAGACACTCGAGGATCCCCGTCTGCATGGACTCTAAGTTCCACGCACAACGCGGTATCACTGCCGAAAAGTGCGACTCCAGTGTCGAGTCCCAGCGGTGGCATCTTTACAACCACGGTCATTAGTTTTTTATTTTTTTACTCGATAATTATAAGTACCACTAACTTATTCGAACATTTAATGATTGATATTTATAAGATAGATATATTATGGTAATATTATTTGTTATTTGTAATTTAAATTCGTGTAAATTGATTTATAAAATACGTAATTTTTACAATGAGAGAAAAATTTATTTTTGATAAAATAAGCGATGTTATGAAAAGAAATTAATTTGTTGAAAATTTAGTAATTTTATTTCTTAGCTGAAGAAATTAAAATTTTTCGTAATAATTTTCTTGCTGAAAAAAAAGTTTTTTAGATTTAGGAAAAAAAATTTTAGATGATAATTCGCAAATTGTCTATCTAAAATTATTTTCTAAATCAACAAAAATTTTCAACAAGAAAATTACTGAGAAAAATTTTTATTTTTTCAGCTAAAAAATAAAACTATTTGAAATTTTCAACAAATTCATTTCTTGTCACAACAATGCCCATTTTTTTTAAAATAAATTTTTTCTTACAGTGTAATTTATAAAAAGGGTCTGTATATGCGCTTAATTGATTAAGATGTTTATTAGCTTATCAGCTAAAATTTTTTATTTAAGGGTTGCCAAAAAAATAAACTTTTTTTTTTCTCAAATTTTCTGTGGAAATATTTTAATTTTTTATATATGCTACAAAAGCTCATTTTAAAAAGTTAATCACTAAAAAATTTTTAAGGGTTGCTAAAAATTAATTTTTTAGTTATTTTATATTATTTTTTTTTTTCAAATTTAAAATTTTTTTTCAAAAATTTTGAGCGTTTCTTGAAAAATTTTTTTGAAGAGGGCTCTTAAAAATGACAAAAATTAATATATTTTCATACGAGACTAAAAAAAAAATCAGTTTTTTTTTGCGCTGCCCTAAAACAAAAAAAAAAAGAAAAAATGAGGTACTGTTAAATTTTTTTTTAATTTAAAATATTGTCATTTTTCAAATAATAGAATAAAAATTCTCAGTAGCTCATTTTTTCAAATTTCCTGTAAATTTTTTCTATAAATTGACTCGCTCCGTAAATAATAAGATTACGTAAGATAGATAAAATTATAAAAAATGGATAATAATTTCAATTAAAATTTAATACCAATATTTTATTAGCGTTAATATTTTTGATGTTTTATATGAAAATATTAAATAAGTTTATAATCCGATTGAGTGTTCCATTTAAATCATCCCGTGATTTATATTTATACACGAAGTAATCGAATAAATAAACCATTGAAATTTAAATTTATATTTAAATTTAAATATTATATATATCACAATGCGATTTTAAGTCGTTTCATTTTAAATTATTTTAGTAATTGCTTTGAAGAATTAACCGACAATGATTTATAATTCATATATTCTTCCAACATTATAAATTTATTAAAAAAAAAAATAAATTTATTACTTAGACTTAATTATTAAATTTGTTTATAATTAATATCTAGTCTTCTATATAAAATATGTAAATATAAAATCTTCCATTTATAAATTTTATAATTAAAAAAAAAATTTTTTTTTTACTTGAAAAATACTCAATTAATTATTATAAAAAAAATACGTGAAGAAATTAAGTAAAGTTTTTTTAATTAAATGAAATTTTGTGTTCATTTTTATTAAAAAAAAATTAATTATAGATTCTAAAATAAAAATTAATGCATAATTAATAATTACACATAAATGAACATCAAGAGATTTATTTTTGTAATTATAATAAATTTATTAAGTACTTATACTTATACTTAAAACTTGGTTGTGCAAAAATGAAATCCAACGAAATAAATTCCTTTTGATAAATTTTAATTAACAATTAATTAAATTAACCAAAACTATCATTAAAAAAAAAAAA